AGGGTGAAAGGGATGAATGGAAGAGGGAGAGATCCAAGGTGGAAACCAAGCTGGTCAACAAGGAAGTCATCCGATACGAGAATGATCCACTCTTGGAAAAAGAAGCTGATCGCCTCCGTCAAGAGGTGCGTAACATGTCTCAGAAGAGGAGAGCTGCAGAGGATGCAATCTATGACTTGCAGAATAAATACATGCTGCTGGAGAGGAGAAAGCCAGAGGAAAAGGTAGTTGTCCAGGAGGTGATACTGACTCAAAAGGATCCCAAGCTCCGAGATGAGCACAACAGGCTGAGTCGGAGTCTGGACGAGGAGGTGAGCAACAGGCGCCGTCTGGAACGTGAGGTGCAGCAGGTTCGTGTGCTGGTGGAAGAGCAAGAGAAGTTGCTTAACTTTCAGGAGGATAGAAGCAAGAGGCTTGCACTGGAGAAGGAGATGAGACAAATTACACTGAGAATAAAGGAGCTGGAGGACAGTCCAGCCCCTGTGCAAGAGAAGATCATTATGGAAGAAGTGGTCAAGTTGGAGAAGGATCCAGTCTTGGAACAATCTGCCAGCAACCTGCGCTTGGAGCTGGACCGGGAGAAGATGGAGGTGCTGAGCTTGCAGAGAGAATGCAAGAACCTGCAGGTACAAGTCGATGTCCTGCAGAAAACAAAATCCCAAGAGAAGACCATCTACAAGGAAGTGATTCGAGTGGAAAAGGACAGAGCGCTGGAGAGCGAGCGTGCACGAATCTGGGAGCTGCTGAGCAGGGAGAGAGGAGCCAAGCAAAAGGCAGAGGAGGAGGTGCGGCGGCTCAGGGAGAAGATCGAGAGAGCTGAAGGCATGAAGAGGACATGGGCTCGCGAAGAGACGGAGCTGCAGAAAGCCAGGAACTTGGCCATCCAGGAGAGAGCCAACCTGGAGAGTGAACTGCGGGAGCTGGAGAGGCAGAAGCAGCAGAAAGTTCTCTTCCTTCGGGAGGAGTCCAAACTGCTCAACCAGCGGACTGAGAATGACAGGCAGAAGAAGAAACAGTTGGAACATGAGTTTTCCATGCTGGAGGCAGACATTCTTAGGGAGAAGGACCAGATCTACAACAAGGAGAGGTTCATTCGGGATCTCCAGTCAAAGGTCAATCGGGAAGAAATCAATCATGAGACCCAGATGAGAGAGACAAACCTCTCCACCAAGATCTCCATCTTGGACCCAGAGACAGGGAAGGACATGTCTCCTTATGAGGCCTATAAACGAGGTATCATAGACAGAGGCCAGTACATCCAGCTGCAAGAGCTGGAGTGTGACTGGGAGGAAGTCACCACGCTGGGCCCAAATGGGGAAGTGTCACTTCTCCTTGACAAGAAAAGTGGGAAGCAGTATTCCATCGATGATGCACTAAGGCTGAGGAGGATCACAAAGGAGGAGTACCAGCTGTACCGCGATGGCAAGATTCCCATCTCTGAATTCGCCTTGCTGGTGGCTGGGGAAACCAAACCTCCCTCATCCCTCTCCATTGGCTCCATCATCTCCAAATCCCCTCTCACATCACCCACCACCCACCAAACCCAAACCTTCTTCCCCTCAGCCTCACAGAAGGGCATATGTGATGATGCATCCCCCATCGCTGGGGTGTATGATACCACCACTGACACCAAGTACAATGTCAAAACTGCTGTTGCAAAGAAGCTGCTGGATCCTATGACAGCTCAGAAGCTCCTGGAAGCCCAGGCTGCCACGGGGGGCATCATAGACCTCATTTCTCGGGACAGGTTCTCGGTCCATAAGGCGATTGAGAGGGGATTGATTGACAGGACCTACATGCAAAGACTGCTCAATGCCCAGAAAGCTTTCACAGGGATTGAGGACCCAGTGACCAAACGAAGGCTGTCTGTGGGGGAAGCAGTTCAGAAGGGATGGATGACCAAGGACAGTGCTTTCCCCTACCTGCAAGTCCAGCATCTAACTGGAGGGCTCATAGATCCCAAGAAAACCGGTCGCATCCCTGTGCTGGAAGCTGTCCAGACGGGGATGATAACAAGCAACCTGGCCAACAGGCTCCAGGATGAATCCAACTATGAGAAAGATCTCATTGACCCTGTCACTAAGGAGAAGATAAACTACAAGGAGGCCATGGCCCTCTGCCAGAAGGATTCTCTGAGCCACCTCCTGCTGCTCCCAGCCGCGTCGGAGGGGTATCAGCGGTACCACCAGGCAAGCCGTTCCCCCAGGCTCTCACGGTTCAGGCATTGAATGGATTCAGGCATGTGCTGGGGCTGGTTCCTTCAGGAGTTCATCCCTACAAAACACCTCTCCCCACGGAGGCAGCAGCATCACAGGAATGGAGCATCTAGCATTTAGGGCTGCATACTCTTCTCTCTTAGCTACCTGCTTCCCAACACAGCTTGGCCGTGCAAGGAAGGAAGCCTGACCATGGGCCTGACATGGAGGGGTCCCCGTGGTCCCCGGGGGGCTGCTGTGACACCAAAGGGAGGTTGATTGCAGGAACTCCACTGGCAGTAGGTTAAACATGGTTATGCCCAGAAAGGGAGGAGAGACAGAATGTTTTCTGGTTGGGTCGTTCTGCATGCAATAAACATAGCAAGTGTTTCTCTGGCTGTGTTGTCTCTGCAGGCTGTGGCAGCTAAGTGGCTGAAGGTGCAGCTAAGTGGCTGAAGGTACAGCTAGTCCTCCCCCAGGCAATCCCACACCCTGAAACCCAATCTACAGAGGGTTTGTAGACTCTTGCTCCCCCTGGTCTCATGGCCCTGAACCTCCTAAATGTCTTTCTTCATGTGAGTCCATATGTTCTGTTTGTCTTTAAAAGTGAAAAACAATGTGGCTTTGCTCCCTGGTCATTTGGACACCTCTGAAAGAGGGACTTGAACACCCAAGGGTGCAGTTCCACCCAGCAGTACCAGAAAATCTGCACTTGGTATTTTCTTAGATGAGATAAAAGGAAGTTCCCCCTCTGTGTAACTTTCACTGCTCAGTGTTTGCTAAAACAAGCAAATCTCATATCCCAAATGTTCTTCCCTAGTATCTACCCCGTTGTGGAGCATCCCCTGGCTTTGTGGGATGAGAAAAATTACTTCCTATTGACACCGAAAACTGCTCTTACGCCTCTCCCAAAGGCTCTTGTAGCTGACACTGTTTGGAAACTCCAACATACCCAAAATAATCCATAAGGGCAGAGGTTTTCTCCCCCTGCTTCCCTCATCAGAGCAGCAGCATAAGCTGTATTTCCATAGAGCCTAGCTGGGATTTGAAGTCTGGGCCCCAGGAAGAAAGTGGTCTCACTCTGGCAGGCTCAGCACACTCTCAGCTCCCATTACCTTCCTGCGGGTAAGTAGTGCTCAGCATTAATGACCTGAAACATCAAGTTTCCAGTCTGAGGTCTGCCCAGACTCTGCAAGGTCTCTGGTTACTGCCAGGCCTATGGCTGGTGATTGTGGCCTTCTCAGCTAACATGGTCAATGCAGGGCAGTTTGTTGGTTTGCAATGGGGAAAACTATTGCACACACCCTGGTGCATCCATTCCCAGCCTGTTTCCTCTCAGCACAGCTCTGCTGGTCTGGATCAGCAGCAAGGGCTGGAGCTGGGCTGACATGGACCAGGGGACACATCAGGAGAGAAGCTCCAGCTGCCACACCAAGCCCAACAGCCCTTGGAGCACAGGAGCATGGCCAGGTGAGGATCACATCCCAGTGCAACTCAGGATACTGGACCAGTGTGGTTCCCAGCTGTCCTCAGGTCCCAACTCTTCAAAGTTGCTGGGAACAGCCTCCACAGCCATGCCTTGGCTTTGCTCCCCTTGGCTGGCTGAAAGCAGGGACAATCCATCAGCAACAAGGCTGTTGCCTTTCCAGCAGCTTGGTTCTGCCCAACAGGTGAGTTTGCTGACAGCACATAGGGTGATTAAATGGTTTTTGGGGAATGTTCTGTAACTAAGGGACTTGGAGTTCTGGTAATTAGGAAGTCAGTTAACCATTTTGGATAAAGCACTCCCTATCTGCCTGGTGAGAGGTAAATACCAGGTAAAAACCTGAGGCTGAGTGAAGTTGTTGAGATGATTAGGTGACTGAGCAGTCTAGTCTAGTCTGAAAAAAACCCCTAAACTCTTCTGCAAAGTTTGTCTGGTACAACAGGAGTGTTTGTTCACATGGAGCAAACAATGGAGCATTGTCTGTACAAAATGAATTCTCTTTACAACATATATGCAAAGGCATGGAAATTATTCCCACAGTAGAATTCATCCATGTCTCTCAAACGTGTCCCTGTGAGCTGGTGGTCACCACACAGAGGCCACAAGGTGCTGCAGGAGAACAGATGTCAGGCTGTGCTGAAATCAGTTCTTGGGATCACAGTTATTAGGAGGGCACATGTGTGCATGTGCATGAGAAACAAGAGTGCAGAAGTTTGGCTTCCCTAAGTTAAATCTGTCTTTGGAGTATTTCAAATAAGTAGAACATAACTGTGAACTGTTTTGTGGCAACCTCAGATGGAAAACAGGCCCAGCTTACCCCACTGAGACAGCACTGGGCTGCAGAACCATCAGAATCTCGTTCCATAACAGAATTGGGAGAACATCTCTGCACCTGCCAAGGATTTGGGCTAGAAAGGATAAAAGAAAGAGTGCAGGAGATGAGGAGAAAAGAGCAGCTCTGTGGAAAAAAAGGACCAGTCAGTCTGTCCTGCATCACCAGCCTGACGGGCTGTGCCAAACAATAACCACCAAGGTTTCTGAACAAATAGCAAGCCTTTATTTTTTTCTATACTAAAAGAAAAAAATGAAGATGTCAAAACCACAGCAAGAGTCAGAAACAATTCTCCAAACATTTGAACAGCAAAAACATTTCCAAGACAATAAACCAAAGGAAAGAGCATTACATCTGGGATGATGATGGAAAGCCAGTGGTTTAGCTGTTCCTGTTTTCAGTCAGATGCAGCAATTGTTTTATCCTAACTGGATCTGCTTTATCCTAACTGGATCTTTTGGCTTCTTGGTCCCAGCTAAGGTACAAATTAAGACACCGGATAGTACTCTTCATCTTGTGAAAGAGCAGAATGTCAGCACTGTTAAACAGCTCAGATTAAACAACTTGTCTAGTGCTGACAATCCTGACCCGGCAGCAGCAGCAATGGGCTGAGCAGGGAAATGCTCCCCTTCCCAAAGTGGAGCTCCAGCACGCCCTGGTGCCAGAAACTGCCACCGACAGACCTGGGAATGCTCCAGTACTGGAGGGACAGGAATCACTGTGTCACCTCAGCTTGTTAATGCAAGAGGCTCTTTTCTACATTTCAATGGTTTATGCTGATAAATGATCCCCACCCTTTTGCACATGACCTCTTCAAAACAGCTCTACTGGCCGTAACCCAAACTTTCCCCCAGCAACAGGCTGAGAATCTCTAAATGCCAAGAATGTCCCCTTCCATGCTCCTCAGGAGAAGCAAGACCCTGTGTCCCTGCCAGCTCCCTGCTAAGTGCCCCAAACCAGACCTGCACTGCTACCCAAAGGTGCAAGAGCTTGGGGAGAGCCATTACCTCTCATCTGAAGTCTCTCCGCAGCACATGTTGCTGGAGACACTTGTTCAGGTCTCTCAGGGTTTCTGCAGAGGAAGTAGCTGTGGCTGAGGGCTGCTTTGGCTGAGATTCGCTTGCTGGGATCATACACGAGCAATTGCTGCCAAGAGAAAACCCAATAGATTCAGAATTTTAAAGATTAAATGATTTATTGCACCTGCAGGTGTTTGGGCTCAGTTGTGGATGTTGGTCCTGCCTGTTCCTTTCTCTGGGCTTCAGGAGTCACCCACAGCTGAAGTTACCATGGGGATTATGCTAGAAGAAGTCCAAGACCCTCAATGCCATGATTTCTAGAGAAACCTGCAATGACAGTCCTGCTGCAGAGCAGGACTGAGCTCTATTCCATGACTCTGTGTCTGTGCAATGGCAGAGGTGAGTATTAGACTCAGATCAGCTAACACACTTCCAGGCCAATCAGTCTCAATATTCTCATTCTTTGTCCAGTTTGAAAAGGTCCTGTCTGTCCCCAGGTCTTGTTCTGAGCCCTCACTCACCGTCAGTAAGTCTCTCCCATCTCGGTCTAAGTCGGGAACAATGTCCTTCATCTCCTTCTTTGGCCACCGGGGAAAGGCACTCTTGTAGTCAGGCAGCTGTGTCACACCAGGCCAGGTCAGCTCGGTGGGAGTGCCTAGGATGCGAAAGATCTGGAAGAGCTGATCAATCTCAGAGTCCCCTGGAAACAGGACCTTCCTGGTTACCTGGGGGAAGGAATGCAAAAACCAGTTCCCACCTTTCCATCAGCTGTGTGCCCTATTCCCCCCTGCAAGTACCTTCTCTGTCCCAGCAGGTGCAGACCAGGGCAGTTACAGCCCAGCAATTCTGCCAGGCAGTGGTTGGGGAAAATCATAGGTGTCTGACAGCATGTCTCCAGCTCCTTTCCATGGATCTGCGCTCCCCTGGGGCTGTTCCTCTTTCAGCCAGTCCCTTATCCCTCTTTATCTCCAGTTTCCTAACACCTGCTCTTGCAGGCTAACTCCCTCCCACCTACTCTGCAGCATGGGGGCTGCGGGAGGAAGGGATAGTGCTATTGAATTGCAGGGATAACCAGAGCTCTTCCAAGGGGAGTGTGGACCCCTAGGAGATTCACTCTGCCATGCTATGTGTGCATTAGTTCTCTGCAGCCCTCTGTGGGGACATCTGGAAGGGAGCCATCTCCTCCCAGGATCAAAATGCTGCAGGAGCAGCAAGGCTGAAGTTACCTCTTCTGCTAGGAGAAGCATCGTGTTCCCATGGACCTGGAACTGCAGCTGGACTACAGAGCTTTTCTGGCCTTGTGCCAGGCCCCTGAGGATGGCAGACTTCCTTCTGAGCCTGAAGATAAGGATCAGCTAACCCTCGGGATGGACTTTAAATAAAACACACCCCATCACAGGGTGGGACTACAGCATCACAGATGTCCTGCATCTCATTCCTCCTTCCCACTGCAGCTGCCTCCTCCCTGCTCATTAGAGAAACTACTTAAAGCCATCCTACCATTTCTGCAAAGATGCAGCCAATGCTCCAGACATCCACAGGGGTTGAGTAGTACCTGCATCCCAGCAGTATCTCAGGGGCTCGGTACCACAGAGTCACCACCTGGAAAGGAACCAACAAACAAGCTCTGCCTGGTTTCCCTGGGTGAAACCAGAGGTTTGGGATCCTCCCTTCCCAGTTGTAAGGCAGTGACTCTACAAATCAGACTGTGCCAAGGCCTTGCTGGATTAACAGACATCTTAGTGCCAGCAAGATTGGGACTAACAGAACGTTCTTCAACAACACACTCTGCAACAAGACACTCTGACGCAGAGAAGGTAGGAACCAAGCTCACAGCCAGGCTAGGGTAGAAGCAGCCAGCACACTGTGAGGACATATGTGGGCACAGCTGTGCTTCCATTATGCATGAGTAACTTGTGCTGCTGCTGCTGTTCACCCACTGTGGATTGTGTACCCCACACAGGGAGCCTCAACACTACCTCATGAGTGTATGTGCGCAGGGGGACGCCAAAAACTCTTGCCAGTCCAAAATCAGCCAGTTTGATTGTTCCTGCTTCATTAATGAGCAAGTTTTGTGGCTTCAAGTCCCTATGGATGACTCTGTGCGAGTGGCAGAAGCTCACACCCTGCAGCAGCTGGAAAAGGTAGTTCTAAGGAGAGAAGAGATTTCAGGTGATGAAAACACTTTGAATGCTGGATCATGTGAACCAACACGCTTTGGATCAGTTAGAGATCTGAATAGGAAAAAAGACCTTGCTATAGTGCAACACCAGGTTTGCAGGCCACTCTTCAGGCACACACAAACTGCTCCTACCCTCCATGGGGACAGAGACTCCAGTCCAGGCAGTGGCAAGTCCCTTCCACCCACCCATTTCTCTCTACACTGGCATTTAGCAATAGATCCTTCAGTTTGTCCTAGCATGAGAGAACATGCTCTCCAGGAGAGCCCAGAAACAGCTGGGAAATAAATGTACTGAGCAGTAGTGCCATGAGGGTTTCCCAGCTGAAATGTTGGAGATCAGAGATGAGGAATCTCTTCCAGGTGCAGTTTGCATAAGAGCAGCTCAGAGCTGGTTGGCACTCCTTGACACTGTACCTTGACCAAGCTAGAAGGAAGCTTTTTGTTTTGGCATGAATCCATGTACTTCTTCAGGTCCTGGCTTAGATACTCAAACACTATATAGAGCTTCTTCTGGCTATGTATGACATCCAGGAGCCTGCAAAAGAAGCACAAGCTTTCCCTTCAGCACTATCTCCAGACCTTTGCAAATACCCAAACATCCCTCCTCCCCTAGATGACTCTGCTCTGTGAGTCCTTTGAGACAGAGAGGGGCAGATTTAAAGGCAACACTATGTGGGACAGCAGTAGCAGCTTGGACCAAGCCTGTGTGTGAAGTGGCAGTGCTGTGAGCTATTGCTGAGAGTAGGGGAAGCACAAGTGATTCCTGTATTTTCCTGTTTATTTTGGTCCTGTCTGTGCAGTCAGGGAAGGGCAGAAAACCCCTCCTGCTGCCAGCCCCCAGAGTTCCCAGGGCAGGAGCTCATCAATGAGCTGATGGGGAGGGTTCATGCAGGTCTTACCTGACTATGTTGGGATGCTTCAGCTCCTTCAGCAGTGCAATTTCTCGGATTGCAGTGCTGGGGACACCCTCCAACTCCCTGCAGCAGAGACAGGCTGTATGGCACCCTGTAGCCCAGGGGGGTTCCACAGCCCATCAGGGTCCTGTGCCCCTTCTCCCTTCTGCTGTGTCCCAACACCTGCCCAGGGAGGGTTTGAGTTTGGGATGGAGCAGCTCCTGGGGTGGGCTGGGGCGAGACAGGGGCATATGGAGAGGGAGAGGATGACCTAGAAGTGCAAGCCTTGGGCCAGAGCTTGTTTGGGGGCACCTGAGGGTGCATTTAGGGAAACAATAATGGTTTAAATACCCATTCTCCCTTCCACTGTGCCCCATCACCTGCCCAGGAGAGGGCTGGAGTTTGGGATGGAGCAGTGGCTGACACAAGGCAGGGGGATATGGAGATTTGGGGAAGGAGAGGAAGGGGATGACCTAGACAGTGCAAGCCTTGGGGCAGAACTTGTTTGGGATTTAGAGAAGTAATAATGGTTTGAATGCCCAGGCGTTGCTTTTTGGAGGTGGGGGGGGGG